AAACTTCATCAACAAAATGGAAAACCTTACCTAAAATATTGTAATCACTCAACCTTTTGTGCTTAAGTTATTAACTATTCATATTAATATTATATAGTTGTCCATACCACTCTTGAAAATATTTTTTCAATGTTTTGTGACAATACGTCGTTGAAACTGAAAACATTAACTGTGATTTACATTTACAGTGCAATTCTTGTGTTAGGTCTTTATTTGAAAAAACGAAATTTTGTTTCTCGGCACCTCATCATGAAAAAAGCGTTTTTTATGTATAATAATAACAAAGTAAAATAAAATTTGTTTGGAAGGTATTTTCAGTGCAAATTAATGTATCAGTTAGGTCAAGTTTACTTATATACCAATTAATCATTCGTTCAAGTGAGTTAGATTGAGAAAGGCCATGAATACCACACCCATAGTTGATTATAGAGAATCCCTAGAATCAGTAGATTGAAAAAGGCCATGAATATCACACCCATAGGTGTCTATAGAGAATCCCTATAATCAGAAGATTGAAAAAAGGCCATGAATAACACACCCATGTTTCTCTATAGGGAATCCCTATAATCAGCATTTTAAATAATGCATTACCAAGCAGTTTAAAAGACGGGTCGGGCTTGGCCTAATGGTTATTGTGTCTAGCTGTTGATCCAAAGGTCCATGATTCGGATCTTTACAGCTACAAAACAAAACAAATTACTTTATGGATGCGTTGAAAGAAAAATGATCAAATCCCACTTTTCCACTTAGATAGCCTAAGAGTTGGCAGTGGCGTAATGTTGACTAGCCATTTTCCCTCAAGCCTATCTGTTTAAAATCAGGATCAGCAAGCGCAGATAATCCTTGTGTAGCTTTGGATGAATATCCGAAACAATCACTCCCATACTCATACACAAAAAAGGTTAGTTTGAACCACTTACTCTTTATTTAACTCTACATATTGCGATTAAAAGCTATCGATAATACAATCATTAGAGTTAAAGTGAAAGATATTGACGTAACCACAACGAGCGAAGTGATTGCTGCTACTATAAGGTTTGTTTCCTCCTGCTGTTCCTTCACAGGATTTTTGGTTAACATCCGATTCCCAGCCCGAGTTGGTAACAAAAGCTTTAACCTCGAACCAGCCCTGTTCAGTCTCATCACAGTTCATGTTGAAATCAATCATCCAGTAGTGGTCACCCCATCTGTATGGAGATTACATAGAAGTTAATTATTTTACATAGTTATTTTCAGGACTGTTTATATCTGATTAATTTGAGTTGGTTTACTTTGGAAACGTAAGTAACTCACAAAATTAGTAAAGCTCAAATGTTTGGTAGAGTTTGTATCTATCTATCTATATATCCGTCTAACTTACATAACTATCTATCTATAATGAATTGATGGTTAATGTTTATTTAGAAATAATGGTGTAAAAACTGGTAAAGGTCTATGTATTAAACAATTTGCTAAAGTTTCATATCGCATTGTAATTAATGTTTGAAAACAATGAATGGTAAAATTGTTTTAATGTACGCTATTTATAACATGGCACAGGTTTAGTAACTAGTTTTTTAGAAATATACTCCGTATGATCCCAAAAAACGAGTCATTCAGGAAAGGTTTGGGTTGTTTTGTTTAGATCAAATGAAAATGCTTGGCACTATTTTCGAGGTCTAGGTCGCTGAACCAGACCCATGACCTAATCCGAGCCCATGAAAGTCAACATGGAGAAGTTAACTTCTAAATGTAAAGTAAAACGATGTAGCAATGAAACATCTTGAAATGCTGTAGATGCGGTTTTGAATATGGTGGTTTAAGTGTAACAGTTAAACTAAACCATGGGTCCAGGTCGGATATGGGAAGTTATTTGAAGATATCACAATCGATTTGGCATAATAGCTGAATCGTAGATTCGTTATTTGATTACTGTATTGACAGCGAAACATAGAAAAAACGGGTACAATAGTGTCGTTAACTTCAAAAAGGGGATTGGAATCATATGTAAGAAATCATTAGTTTCAATATTTTGTTAAATTAACGGTACATTAAAGTCCAAAGATATGTTGTTGAAGTTGAAGCAGGTGCATTACAAGGCGATTTCCCTAGCGATTCTTAAATTAAAAATGTCATTTCTTCAATGAAGAGTAAATATAAGATGCATAGCATAGTCTTGGCCAAAATGTTCGTATACTGTTCTATATTGGTGTTATTGTCTACATGCATGGAGTAGTTATTGAATAAACGCCCGGGTATTAACCCCACACGTAACTTATGATCAGACAAACATGTATGAGTTGTTATTCTGGTCTGTATAAGTTGTTTTGAGCATTTATTCATCAAAACACACATACACACCTATTTTGTATGAAACGGTGTGCTTTTGGTATAATCCTTTTTGAAACCGATCAGTGCTTTGTTCAGACAATTTCTCTGTACTTGGTGTAGAGTCATATTTCGTCATGTGCCAGATATTATAGGGTGTCAAATTATTCGACTGTTCAGATATGGTATGAAGCAAACGTACATTGCCAGAACAGTGGGGTACCTCCATTGTACTGTATTCAGAATCCTGAAACGTCTTCAGACTACATGAAACGTTGTTCCAGGAAAGACTACTGGTAGGCGCTGAATAACTACTGCTTGAAAGGACCGTGTTTTGATCAGGTTAACACGTCAACATCAAAAGAAGTCTTGCAACACCTTACAACAGAAATGGCATGAACACATTTATTCCAGGATATCCAAAAGAACAGTGAATAGGAGAATGACCAAACACAGTTATTGTGCAAGAAGATCTATCAGTAAGCCGATATTAACCAGAACTCACCTCTGTAACCGTGTTATTTGGGCAGGACAGCAAGCCAACTTACAGTTGGGACACTCGCAACATGTCATCTTTTCAAATGAGTCTTGTTTCCTGCTTGTTAAAGCTGATGGTAGGATTCGGGATTTATGTTCGTCATTTGTTTGAGAAACAGATGAGAGAAGATTGTCTTTCCCATAGGGAACACACAAGAGGTGGTGCTGTATATGTTTGGGCAACTATTCATCATGGTGGAAATACTGCTCTTCATATCCTCCAGGGAACCGTCAATGACGCCTTCTACTGGCATTACATGGTGACGATATTTCTGCCTTATGCTAGGGCAAGGTTTGGCAATAACTTTGTGTTCCAGGATGAAAATGCCACTGACCACAGTGCACATACTGTACAGGATTTCTCCACCAGGACAACGTTATAAGATTGTCATGGCCAGCAAAGTCTTCAGATTGCAATCCCATTGAGAACTGTTGGGCAGAACTGAGCAAGAAAATTGCTAACCACGACCCTAAACTTATTACTGTAACTGAGTTGCAGCGCCTTCTAGTGACATTTTGGAATGAAATCACAGTGGGTTACATCAATAATCTCATCGACAGCATTCTACGTCGCCTTGTGGAGGTTATCAGAGTAGGAGGACCATCCAGGTACTGAATGTTTAATATGAAATTGTATAAGGTTACAGAAACTATTTATAATAATTCGGTGTTATATTTTGTCATTATATAGGTTTTGGTAAGGTTTTGTTGTGGAAGGTGAAATACTGAATTACACATCTTTCCAAGGGTGTCTGATAAAATTGTTTGCTGTTCTAATAAATCGTTCATGATGTTCATAGAACTTTTCTCAATTTGACAGTGCTAAGAGTATTTGTATTCCATCGTATTAATAATGATCTTATTTGTTACAAAATATCCAATCATTTTGGCCAAGGCTGTATAATGCTCAGTATGATACCGCCATAGTATAGTTCATATAGATTTCATCATGTCATATTTTCATGAATATTTAGTTATTTATCGTCTTCGAAGTTGTGTCGAGCTTCATTCGTCGAGATCTATCGAAATAACTCTAAATCACCAGTTTCTACTTGACCATCCTAGGCTCAATACTAAAAGATATTGGACTGGCTCGTGTGACAGGTGTCAATAATAAACAAACTGTACCATCTATATTTTTAAATATTTGAAATAGGAATAGAATTTCTTACTTGTTCAATTGTTGAAAACCAGATGAGGTCACGCTATTTGACGTCCAAACACAAGGGCTTCCTTCTGCCTGTTTACCTTGGTATAGCCCTTGACCAGACTCGGCACCGTACCAATCCAGTTTATGGTCATTTGTGATCCACGCAAGATATTTGACATAGTGAGTGCTACTTCCGAGTTTATTGTGTGTAATTGAAATGGCACAAGAACTAGAAGCGGCGTCGTTTGTACACCCTTAGTAAAAAAACAAAACAAAACGAGATTATATGATTTATGAAAAGTTACGTGATAGATCACAAGTAGTATACATTTTACAATTTTTTGTTAGTCCACACGAGAGCTTTTGTTTAAACTATTTACATTTTTTGAGCCCCCCCCCCCAGTGCCACAGCGGTATGTCTGCGGACTTACAACGCTAGAAAGCGGGTTTCAATACCCGTGGTGGGCAGAGCATAGATAGACCATTGCGTAGTTTTGTGCTTAACTTTAAACCAAACTATTTTTTGACTATAGCTAATTTCTATGCGTTGAATAATTATTGTTTTCTTTTGTCTATGCATGTCCCCCCGGTGGGTAAACAGTAAATATTCGGGTTCACAACGCACAAATCCAGGGCTCATTTCTCGCGGTGGAAGAATGCAGATAGCCCATTATCTAGTTTTTGTACTCAGGAAACAACATCAACTTGCCTGTGCTTGAGTAATTTGTATGTTAATATCTTCACAATATGAAACATTCATTAATTTCTACGACCGGTTTTTTCTTTACTTTCCATGTTTGTTTTGACAAATTCAATACAAGACATATTTTTTGTTAATGTTGATCTTCTATAGTGGATATTACTTTAACATTGAGAGATTCATTTCTTATTCTCTAAGTAGGGTGAACTTTTATTAATAACGACAAGGGGCCAAGTCCAGTCCAATAGTTAACGTGCCGGATTGTGGAACTGAGGTTTCGTGGTCTGCGTCCCATTACCACTTCACACACACACACATATGTCATATATAGGCCATACTATTCCACACTATTTGGTCTAACAAGAGTACTCCAAGAGCTGGCGATGGCATTGTGTCGACTAGCTGTCTTTCTCCAAAACTGGGGATGGCTAGTGCAGATAGCCCTTGTGTAGCTTTACTCGAAATCCAACAAACAAACAAATATCGAAAGGGAATTACCTTACTGAAGCTGAAGATTGAAATTTTTATTTTGTCAATTACTAGTTTCCAAGTGGCTTTTACTGCTAGATTTCGTGATTTGGTCCCTGCAGTAGACAAGTGTAGTTAGCCCATTGTGCAACTTTGCTCTCAAACAAAGTTACGTGAATATATTATATTAATATAGCGACAGACAAACAGTAATAATAATAATATATCATTGAAAACATTCGAAATTTTTCTTTTTAAGTCCAAACATTTGCGTAATTTATCCTATAAAGCATTTTCCATATTGGGAAAGATGTTCCTACCATTTCGTCTTTCATGACTGATTCCTCCTCTGATGAACATGTCCTGACCGGGTTTTGACTTAAAGTTTATAAAAATGACAGTTCTCTTGTAACCCGTTGGAGGCTCAGTTGGTGGATTTGTGATGTCTGGGGTAGCGGTGGGTTTCTTTGAAGATTGAGGTTCGGCAGTCGGAGCTGGTCCATCATCAGTGCAGCCTCCACTTCCTGCCTTGCCCTCTGACGGTGAAAAAAAAGACGTCATACAAAAACCAAAACACAATATTCATCAATAACCAATAAGTTTCAGTAATTAAGCTACAGGCACTAAGATTTCTAATATAATGATCAACAATATAACTACACATAGTTCTTGTTACTATTGAAATTATCGATGATGTTACTTAAATCATAATTTTGAAACAATAATTTGAACGCCGTATTTTTATTTGAAGAACTTGGTTGTAGTACTATATTCATTTATTCATATCAAATATAATCTAATAATTATTTTTTAGATAAGGATAATACCAATATGTATCGCCAAGATCGGGTTTTCGCTATCGTTAATCTCAATCATTGCGTTTCCATTGTCATCTACGTTCACTATTTGGCCCTCACATCCTAACTTAGTTGGACAGCCTTGGATAATGTTACAATATTGACCAGAAGGCAAACCAGTGTAAAAAGTCTTTCGTAGTCCCCCTTGGTTCGTCATGGCCACGAATCCCTTATGTCCTCTCCTCCACGCTGCCTGATTTCCCTCGGACCAAAAATCTTTTGCTTGTTCACCAGATGTCGCCTTGGAAAATGATACCATTCCAGCTATGGGCTTCCACCGATGTTCACATACCCAGCCATTGCCACAGGAACCGTCGGCATTGATCGTCACATCTAATGTGCTGTGAAAATAAATAACAAGTTCATGAGTAGGTGTCGAGGATAATATGAATAGTCCCAAATTGTTATACACGTGTTTTTTACACGATTCTATGAATTTGTTATCCACTATTATATATTATATATGTAATAAGAGAAATTGTGCAAAGTTAGTTTCTAAACATATGAAGTTTTCTTAGACTGTGTGTAATAAGTTTTCACTTTATGAGTCTGTATTTGTGACCTTCTCTTCTGTAAAAACTAAAAAAACAAACAACATATATCTATTGTTTACCAATAAATTTAGGATTAGATTCAAACATAACCACACACACACATAGACAAACAAATGCAAGTACGAAACTCCCCGCACGAGTTACGCTCATTTACATATATCTTTGCATGTAGTCAGAAAAGTTAAAATAAAAAATATCCAATGACCACGCATTTTTTTTTGAATGAAAACACTCTTTATTAGAAGCTGAAGCTAATGTGTGTAAGAAAACTAGCAGCCTGTGTAAGAAGATTAGTAGCTGAGGTTAATGTGTGTTAAAGAAAGCTAGGAGCTGAAGTTAATGCGAGTATCAAAGAAACCTAGAAGTTGAGGTTAAAGAGAGCCAAAAAAACTTAGTAGCTAAAATTAACTTGTGTGAAAAAATCCAATAAACGGAGGTTAATATGTGTCAAATAATCATTTTTCTTTCATTGACGGAAAGTCATATGTCCTGAATTACTTTAGTTAGATTAAACCTCACAATAATGGAGGTTTTACATTTTGAATTACTCCTGATGGATTGGACCTGCAATGATAAAAATCTTAAGGCCTTTATTTATTCTAGTAGACTATATCTTGCAATACTAGAACTGTTATTAACTGTGATAGTTTTGTTATTAACTACGATAGACTTGTACTTGAGACAGTAAAACTTTAATGTTGTTATTACGTAGTTTTTATGGTGATAAAATATGTTGGTTTTTATTCAGTCATGATGTACTAGCCTTTATGGTAGAAAAACCTTTAGGTTGTAATTTACTCATAGTCTGCTAAAATTTTATGCTTAGATTGCCTGTATTAGAAAAGGGGTTAATTTTCCCATGTAAATTTCACAGTTTATCTCTCTTTTTATATCTATATATAACAAACAATAATAAAACCATTGCCAATGACAAACTTAAATATACATTGAAGAAAGGATATAAAACTTATCGAATACAAAACATTCCTTACTTATCATTTTCATCCATTGGAGGGCCAGCTTCAGAGTCGCTGAAATGAAAACTGCTCATGATCCTTGGTTGTCCATATGGCCATCCTAGAGCGATTGCTTGAGCCATTTTGTATTCATAGGGTTTTTTGTAGGTAAGAATGTTTCCACCACCACCATGCCCTCGTTGATTATCATGATTGTCAACAAAGACAAAGGCATCATCCGGGTGGAGCATTCCCCATCCAGCATCATACATGTAGGGGATTCCTCCTAGATTTCTCTGAGAATCCTTAATCTTGACGCAATACCTGAAGTCGGTAACAAGACCGAGGTGCTTGTAGGAATTGGCTTGGATCTCTCCTCCCTGATTCATGTCGATTACTTCCATGTAAACTAGGGGTTTGCTTCCGGAAGGAAACCACTTGGTATTTAGGTTGTTTAACTTCTTAAAGATTATCTCTAAATCTTCGGGCCACACGTGTTTGGCAGCATCTATTCGAAATCCCGCGACACCGATATCAATCAGGTGATTCATAAATCCGGAAACCATGTTTTGTACATGTGTAACTTTGTGATTTAGGTCTATAAGTCCGACCAATCGACAGTTTCGAACTCGAGCAAAATCAGTCCAAGAGTCAATGCAGCAGCAACCGGAACAACTGGAGCAATCGTTGAAATCTGGAAATGAATAAGGTACTCCGGGAAAGCTATGGGCATCAGCATCGAAAGGTGACCCAGCAGTCCCGGTTCCAGATCTTCCCATTCCTGTCATATGATTGATGACAATGTCTGCATATATTCTGTAAATTTTTACAAGTAAGGAATATAAACTTATATTTTGTTGGTTCCTATTAAATCTTGTTTACAACATAATCCCCCCCCCCGCACCTGTACAATGCAAACCATTAAGGTGTTTACAACATAACCTTCCCTCCGGTGCAATGCAAACAAATAAAAAGAATGACATTTTGTGTTCGTAATCGAATTATTTATATAATATAAACTAATTTTTTAGAAAGTATAATTACTTACAAAATTGAAATGATGTTTTGAAAAATGTAATATTCAATAAAACACATAAATATCAATATTTTATTACATGAAACCAGTGAAATAAATAAACAAACGTAAATGTGTTGCATTTAAAACTCTTGCTTAAATAAAGGTTTAGGTTTTAAATTCAAAATTTATTAAACGTCAAAGAATAATTAGAATATCCTTATAAATGTCAATGTTCGTTTGTTTTCGCGCAAAGTTACAGAATGGACTATCTGCACTCTGTTCACTGTAGGGGCTCAAACCTCGGATTTTAATATTGTAAATCCGTAAACGTATCAATGACCCTCAGAAAAAGTATGTTAATAATTAAACCACTGAGAGTTTCTCTTTTAAATTGAGCTATCTTAATAACTTTTTATTCAAATATGTTTAGAGTGCAAACAAATAAGCGAGAAAAAACAAACAGAAATAGCTAAGCCCGTCAAGATTTAATTTTTTTTCAGTGTAACGAATATCATCCATCTGCAGTAATTTAGAGAGAAGACGTTCCGAGTTCTTTGAACAGTAATTAAGTAATTAAACTCGTTACATTATCCATAATGGATTATCATCATATATTTCAGTCTTTGAAATAAACTACCATGTATGAATTTAGCTAAATTTTGTTCCATAAAACAGCCTATTTAGTGATTAAGCTATCAGTAATATACGGTCCTAAGGTTTGAAAGATTAAAATATATTTAATATGTAAAGTTCTGGCACCAGTTATTTTCTATACATAACCTCAAATCAGAACAATGAACACAACCAAATCACCCAGGTCAGATATCACGGGATTCAAAAATAGCCACTCCTAGTTTAGAACTACTAATCAGAGCAAGGGTAACCAATTAGGACACCCATTGACTACTAGCTACTTCCTTAACCGATTATCGGGTCTGACTGCACTTTTTGATCTTCAGCCAGACACAATAACCAAATCACTTCTGCCCAGGTCGATGTCAAAAGAATTCATTGCACTAGGCTTTTTTAGTTCATGTAAAAAATCCTTCCAATTTTTTCTGTGGGATCAACAATTCCTTATACTAGCTCTAAAGAATATTTTATTTTTAAAGTTGTTAAGCACAAAGCCATACAATGGGCCATTTGTGTTTTATCTATCTATCACGGGTACTGAAACCCGATTTTAGTGTTGCAAGCCTATAGATTATAATGAGCCACTTGGGGGGGGGGGGGTGTATCATAGAGAAGAAATACTTAGCTTAATTTTAAACAAATAATTTTTCCTCTCTTTTGGGTGAGCCTCATAATACTGAGATTGACTGCTCTATAAAAATGACCTGCAGATTTCGTGCTGGGCTTGGAACTACTTCCTTTATTGTTTATCGTGATTTTTCACTATTCTTGACACCGACACTTCCATTGTAACATGTTTCTGTAAATGATGGCAAGTTCAGTTTTAAACAACGCGTATTCTGAAACCTTCCACAGATCCGTGGGTGCTGGCTTCCAAAATAATGTTCAAGCAGACTAAAGAAATAAAAGCCCATTGAAGCTGTATGGGAGTTTAGGAGGATCTGACAGGTATGCGGTCGAATGAGATTATTATGATCCTAGTTGCTTCTATAATCTTTCATATGCAAATAGCTGTTGTTTTCGGCTGGAAGCTTGTGAATTTTTAGCTTGTAAGTTTGTCAGCTCAATACTAAGAGATTTCTCAGTTTCATCACAACAGTGGTTTTTTTGGGGAACGGGGTGGGAAGAGATGGGTTGGAGGTTTTCTATCACGACCATAGCTTTTACTTTGCAGACGAGGGAATTGTTCTGGATTGACCTGATGGGTATGTTTTCGGATCCCATTGCTGCCATAAACATTTTACTGAGCGAGTATTTTGCTTTTCAAAAAAATCGATAAAAGCTCTTTTTCCCAAAGCCCCACTACTCCATTGCTCAACGGTAAGTCTGAGGGTTTATACTGCTAAAAACCAAGATTTGATACTCGTGGTGGGTTGAGAACAAGTAGCCCATTGTGGAGCTTTGCGCTTAACAACAAGCAAACCTATCTTCAAAATTTTTTATCTTTCTTTATATCGTTTAAAAATAACACTCTACAAATATTTCTCTTCAGAAATGCTTTATATTTCTCTATCCACAAGTTTTTTTTAGCACCACTTCATTATCGAATGGCTTGGAATTCACCACAAACCAATTAGAGAAGCTATGAACATTTTGCTCTTAGCACCACGGCTTGCATCTAAATTAGTTTATACAAATCTCAGAAGTTAATCTTGATTAACTTTCCGTACAATTTGCCAATTTTTACCAATTGTCAAGAGTTAATGTATAGTCTTGTGTTTGTAAGGCCATTTATTCTCCAAAATTATCTACAATAAAAACGTTTGAAAAACTAACGTTAATGTTGCTTATTAATATTTTCATACTCTTCAATGTACTTACTATAATATAATACAAGTCAAAAGCTTTCCATACAGCAGTGAAAGTCGTCATTATGTAAAAAGCTTTTAACCCTCCTAGAATTTAGTTTTGTTATCATTTTAAGCACAATCAAGTTAATACATATAAGCCACACGATTGGACAGTGATAAGTTTGTGGACTTGCAATGCTAAAATTCAAGGTTTACTTCCACATAGTGGAAATAGCAGTGTAGTCTATTGCGACTTTTCTCTGAAATAAATACTCAATATCTATAAAGTACTTTATAAAATTGTCAGTCCTTAAACAGTCGATTTACCCTTTGGTTATTTAATCCTTTGTAATGGTGTTGTTATTTAAAAAAAATTAATATATGAAAATAGTTTTGTTGCTTTTATCATATAACACAAAATTAATACAAATTAATTATTGTACAGAGAGAATAAAAACCTCAACACACTGTATTACCCATAGAAATGTGGTTATTTAAATATTTGATAATGTAAGTTGAAATAGTATTACTAAATGTATTCGAAAACAAAATTTGAAGTCCTAGGTGTTGGAATAACTTAATCATTAGCATTATTAATTGTGAATCCCAGGGTTAATTGTCTGCGACCCGTTGTCGTAAAAACACTCTCTGCACTTTGGAGTTGTGGATTAGCTGTAACTGTGGAGGCCAAATTCCATTATTTGGGTTAGATAAGAGCAGCCCAAGAGCTGCTACTAGGTTCATTTGACAGATGCCTTTTTTATAATCTACCAGTTTTATATGTAAATAGCCCTTTATGTATCTTTATGCGAAATTCTAAAACAATTAAAGAAAATATTTTTATCAAAATATTTCTAAACTTTCAAACTTAAAGTGACTGAATCATATATAGTTTACGTAAAGTTGATCGACATTTATGGAAAATATACAGCAATAACAAAGCTTTATACCATTGATAAATCGTCAATCGTTTTAGTTTTTAAACCATTAGTGTATACAAAGGATTAAAACTTCGATAAATTGCATAAAAAATCTCTAGATGTTTCAAAAACTTCCAGACTTTAAGAGCTATATCTGATAATCCAAGGCCTAAAATATCACTTCAATAAAAATGTGAAAACTGGGATAGATTATTATTATTATTAAGATTTATTTTGTATTTTAGTTATTTGCTTATTGAAAGATCTAGAATTAGTACAGTACAACAGGCAAGCATAAGTCATAAAAACATCTTATTTTCTTATCTTTGTTCACTCATACACAGACTTGAGTCTAATGTAATCAAGTGCCTCTTTTTTATCGATTACACATCCACATCATTTCCAGCCATGTTTTAGATTTTTCTACATATTTCTCAACCACTATTTTCTCTATTTCATTAAATTTATTTCTTTAATTTTCGTCATGTCATTAACTTCCACAGACTAAATAAAGTACGGTTACCAGTAGTTACTGGGGCAGTTGTATGGCAGATGTTGTTATGCTGCCACGACACTTGACAACTGGAAGTTGTCTGCTGTCACATGACATCATAGTTCGAATGTTATTCAGCAGAGAGCGTGTTGCTAGGGTTGCAATATTAGAAGTGACATCATAGTTTGAGTGTTACTCACTAGAGGATGTGTTGCTAGGAGAGGTTGTATTGCACTATGATTCAACCAAGGGAGCATTGCTAGATATGATATCACAGTTTCCCAAAGTGCCACCAGAAGGCATGTGACTATGATAAATACACAGATAGTTTATGAGCAAACCACAAGAGGGTGATATAGATCAATGTTTCATGAACTTTATAAGAATAATCAAAGTCTTAAAATTAATATTTTATCTAATTTACATCATTTTTCTGTACAATTATCAGTACTGAAAAGTTTTTTATTGCAATTACAGTTTTGCTTTATAAGTAAAGCATTAAATCTGCTATTTTAATCTTATCAACTTTATGACTATCACTTATATATTATGAACTTCTTACACAGGAGGATGGTGTTTCTACACGCAGTGTTTACTATACTTCCATAGGATTACATATAGATTTCAACTTGTCTCAGTTTATGTTTATAGTTTTCTTTTATTTATTTAATTATATTACATGTATTTTATAAAAGTGAATGGTGTTTCTATAGGCAAACAGTGTTACTATTCTTCCTTAAGACTGCATACAAATTTAAACTCATCTCAACTTAGTTTTATTGTTTTCATTTATATAGTTAACTGTATTACATGTGTTTCTATAAGCAGATATTGTAACTAGATGGATTGTGTTACTAAGGTTCTATAGGCAGATGGTAAACTGTGTTATTAAGGTTCTGATAGGGCAGATAGTGTTTCTAAAAACAGATAGTTCAATAGCATAATGAGCTCATTGTAGGCTGTCTCAACATGTGATTACATCATCAACATTGTAGTCAAGATTTAATTATATATCCTAAAGTTTACAAACAAAACCACCATTTTAATGAGACAATTATTATAACACTGTTACATGTGTTAGTTTTGTCACACACACTATCTTAATTTAGCTATTATTTGGACAAGGCAAATATTATAGCATGGACAGTAATTTATTTTACATACTTTTACAATATCTGTTCTGATAAGATTTTATCATGCATAATGTATCATTTTTATAAATATTGAACAAGACAGTTAGCACAGCCAATTATGTTTTTGAGTATTCATTTAGTTCACATTTAATGTAAAGATTATAGTTTTCACTTCTATGTTTATAATTTGCATGTCATATGTTTTGCATTTCCTAAGGTTTTATATGTAAAACACTTATTGCTAATTCATTTCTATAATTAATATATTGTATAACATCTCCTCATCAAGAAAATGATACTTACTTAAATCTCTAAATAATATATAATAATATTTAGCTTTATAAGTTGATTGTTTCTGCTAGAGTTTAAAGTATCTACATCAATTGTTATGTTTAACTTTACTACTCTTAACTTTCTGCAGATATTTTCACAAACCTTTGTCCAGAGCTTGTTTCTTGCTGGCTTGGAACTTTATGCATAAAATCAGTGTTCTGTGAATTTCTTACATAAAACTCACTTTTCATCATAATCCAATATGCTATCATTAATATATGGAAGTAAAATTACAGATTTAAGTATCACACATACAGAAACATTTGTTAACAAAACTTCAAGATACACTAATACACTATCTACAAAAACATCTTAGTTTATAAAATATTGACCTATACAAATCTAGCTTGGTCTTTTATGATAAATTACACTCCATGAATATCAATTTATAACAAATATGTTTGAACAAGTAAAACAAGTCTCCATTTATACTTCTTATATAAAACTCATATTTCATCATGGCTAATATGTTATCATTAATATATATAAGTAAGATTACACAATTAACAACCATACTGAAACATTTATTAAAAAACTTCAAGTTAGAAAAAGATGACATTATCTACAATTTATCACAAATAATGTGTATACACTCTACTTTTAAAACATTTAAAAACAAAATCTGTAAAAGTTGTTGACAAAATATTTAAATTTTGTTTCTTCTTATGACAAAAGATATGGTCTACATGAAATGATGATTCTTTCACATTTTTTATAAATGTATAAAAAACTTCAAGATCTATAAACATCTATAACTTATAAAATTCTGAATTAACTTTCTTACAACTTTTGTACATTATGTTCGATATTACTATTTCAGTTATAATATATATTTTTTTCATATGTGTAACATTATGTGTCAACAAACACTGAATTTATCACGACCATTTTAAGAATTTGAAACAATATTACGATAACATGTGATATATTATCATTTACACTTATACAAAGAATATCAAATTTTATTATTCCTTTTGTCAGTTACAATCAATTTTCGATCTCAAATATAACAAATTTTGAACAAGTACACTCGAAGCCTGACTAAAGATTAAAGGTTAGATAATTATGTGTCAAGCTTAACTTTTTATAGTAAACTTGAGTGACAAGACAAATGAACAGTTATGAAAGTTATTAAAATATACATGATACACAGTCTTATATTTATTTAGACATACTTGAAAATTCGTATATACCAACAGCATTAAAAAAGTTAAGCTCGCTAAGGAAGATTTATAAAACTTAAGAGACCAGATGATAGATTAATGCTGATGTTTATTGTAGACATTATAAGTCAGAAACTTTCCAGTATTGATAATTGTAAATACAGTGCTATGTAAGTTAGACAAAATATTAATTTTAAGACATTGAATGTTAGTATAAAGTTGATGACACATTGATCTACACCACCCTCTGATGGTTCACTTGGAAACTCTCAGTACACTTATCATAACAATATGCCTTCTGGTCACACTTTGTAGAACTATGGTACCAGCTCTAGCAACATTCCCTCTGGTGAGTCCCTCTCGTACTATGATATCACCCTCTCCTAGCAACATGCCTCGTGCAACACGTCCTCTGGTGAGTAACACTCAAACTATGACGTCACCACTAGCAATGCGCCCTCAGTTTAGTAACAATCAAACTATGATGTTACATAATAACAGACAACTTTTGTCATCAAGTGTCATGGTGGCATGACAGTTTTTGCCATGAAAGTGTCCTGATAAGTACTGCTACTTTTTGATATCTGTAGGTATTTCCCTAAATCTTGTCTTTTCCTCATTGTAATCAATGGGTACTGTGTGAGTAAAAATGTAATGTTTTCTGGCAATGATGAGTTTGTCTAGAATTAGTTTCTTCTTGAAACTATCAATAAACTGAGTAAGTAGCTAATTCTTTCCATTGGAGTAAATAAAAAATAAAACACATTAGTTGGACGAGACGAATGCTACGAAATTAAAAAAGGCATTAAGAGTGATTGTATGTTTTGAATTTAGCGCAAAGCTACACGACGGCTATCTGTGTTAGCTATCCCTGAATTAGTTGTGTAAGACAGGGAAGGCAGCTAGTCATCATCACCCACCACCAACTCTTGGGCTCCTCTTTTATCAACAAATAGTGGGATTTACCATCACATTATAATGCCCCCACGGCTGAAAGGGCGAGTATGTTTAGTGGAACGGGGATTCGAACCTGCAACCCGCAGATTGCGAGTCGAGCGTCCTAACCACCTGGCCATGCCAGGCATTAAGAATGATGGATCCACGTGGTAAAATATGAGTGCAATAATAAAAGTGTTTAATTGAAAGTAAAGAAGAATATAATGATATATCAACCACACTATATCTACTATATCCAGTATTGACGTGGATTTTCGCCCAATAACAGGGCTCTCTCATCAGATCCACTGGGATACAACATAGTAGTTGTAGAAAATGTTTGTTTGTTTGAAGTTAAGCACAAAGCTACACAATGGGCTATCTGTGCTCTGCCCACCACGGGTAGCGAAACCCGGTTTCTAGCGTTGTAAGTCTGCAGACATACCGCTGTGCCACTGGGAGCTAGTTGTAGAGAAGTTATTTATATCATAATTTGCTTCAACCACTGAAAGCATAAATTACAGTAAGCCCAATACAGTACAAAACTACAGAGAAACTAGCAGAGAGATAAAGGATTTTTAGTATACATAAGTATCCCTTAAAAAATTATCTCAATATTAAGCTTACTTCCATAGAATTTTGATTTTTCATATTCCAAAATCAATCCAATAAAAAATAGCATTAAAGAATATTTTTTCAGAATTTTTGCGCAAAGCTACATAAAGGGCTATTTGTGCATATTGGTTCCTGATTTTGAAGAGATAGACTATAGAGAAGGCAACTAGTCAACAGCACTCTCCGCAAATTATTGAGTTACACTTGTCTGACAAATAGTGGGATTTGATCTTCACATTTCTCGTGCACCAACAGCCCCCAAAGTGCGGAACGCGTTTTTGTAGCAATCGGCGAAGAAACATGAATTGTCGGATTCACAGTCCGAGCACGCTAACTACTAGGTCACACCCGGCTCATTTTCCTGTAATCAGAAGCCAAGTTGGATAAAACAGTGTCTTAAATAAACAATTATAACTTTGTTATATAAAAGAAACTTTTTCCTGGTATTTTTATTGTTTCCGGACAGAAAGCCTTGGTTCAATCTTTCTTACAATGTGTAAATAATCAGCTCAGTGTTAGATATATTTCTTTTAACTGACTTATTTTTCTTCAAGAGAAAATTAACTATTTATGCTCGATATATGGATCACCGATTTATTAACAGTATTATGGGAGAATATGTGAATTGGCACTACATTTCTCCAACCTTACAGTTTAACGTGTCTAAATTTTGTTTCCTGCCTTGTCATTACTGATAACCTGTCTTCAGGTTACAAAAAAAAAATGTTTAAACCTTGAGTTTATCTGAATTGCTTTTTGCTCCTTTGAACAATTTGTGTTCACTTCAAAATTCAAATGTTATTTACAATTTCATGGCTATGTGAGATCGGTAGCTCGTTCTGTCTACATCCATATAGAACATCTACCTCATATGGAGGATTGTTCAAGTCTGCCATATCTTATGTTCGGAATATAATGATTTACCTACAAGCTCTATGACATAATTTTATGCAAGGATCTTTCTTCCTTTGATGTCTGGAAGCAGCCTTGAACATTGTGCAATGAGCAATAATTCCTTTGTTAAATTTATTTCTGGTAAAACTGATTATTATATAGCTATGTTATAATTGTTTCTTGTAATAAATAAAAGTTATATTTGAAGTGTGTATACATTACTTAAGTGTCAGTTCCTGTATTTTTATATTTTAGCATTACCCTACGTTCACTCTGTTACATCGTTCTACCATGTCAACGAATTCCTTCTCAGAGCCTCTTCGACTGGTTAACTTATAGCTGACTGGTTGATAACTTTCCCACCAAGGGCGTCGTGGAGACAACACTATTGCATGCTCGTTTGGAGGGGAGATCTAGAAAAGTCAAAGTTGAATTAATGTTATCTCAATTTCAAATACTTCAGTTCACCGATAAAAATACGGAAATTCATTAGTTGAGGAAAACATAGTATTGTTTTTTATATACCTGGGCCTGACATGGCCTGATGGTTGGGGTGCTTAACTCGCAACCTGCGATCGTGAGTTCGTATCCCGTCACCGAACTTACTCCCTTTTTCAGCCATGGGGGCGTTATAATGTGACGGTCAATCCCACTTTTCGTTGGTAAAAGAGTACCCCAAGAGTTGGCTGTGGGTGATGTTGACCAGCTACTATCCCTCTAGTCTGTCACTACAAACTTAGAAACGACTGGTGCAAATAGTTCTTGAGTAGAGTTGCGCGAAATTCCAAAACAAACAAATAATATTTATATATACCAACTGTCAAATGCTTTAATTAAAGAGGTTATATAATTCGATGTGGAATGTGGTAATAAGCCTGTTACTTGAACTTGTTTTTTCTATTAGTTTCACTGCAGATCACGAGTGGGAAATGTTCACCTGTAACGAACAGCGGATGAAAAACTTCCAGATGCTGTTAGATATACAGATCTATCGTTGATATGTGTCCACGTATGTTTGTACGCATGTGGTGTGTTCCGTTTAGGGGTTTACTTGAAAAACATGTAAATGAATCTCAACTGTTAGTATTAAAACATGTATTTCTCACTTTGAAAGTACAGTGAATACGTTTTTTTAAAGTTTATCTTGGATCACATTATCTCCTATAATTACATTATATCACTAAAAAGTGTTTAATTAGTGTTAGGCTGTTCTCATTGTGATGTTAAAAAGAAAAATCTAACGATGCCTCTGGCATTTTGAAAATGAGTGCTTCTCTACGCACGGTAAAACCTTTTCATTCATAGAGAATTCAGAATTGACAAAAATATATTACAAAATTCTAAAGAAAATTTAAAAAAGCACACCTGTACACCACAGAATCCCATCGGTCCAAGGAATTGTTCGCATTCCTTAGCAATGTCCGTCCATTTCCATTCAAACAAGTGAACTATCGCCTCTCTATTACCAACACAGTTATTATGGTGCCATGGACTGGCAGCTGTAACCACGCCTGGGAAAATAAGTTCATCATAACTAAAATATCCGTGTTTATTTCTTGGTTTAATAAATACAACTTCTATAGCAAAAAACAACTTATTTTTTATGCACCAGTTTTTAAGACTTTTCAATTTTGTTATTTTTCTTTGTAGAATTATATACTACTAATTACTGCTTTCACATATTGAAATTATAAGAAAATTTAAAAAATTCCGTATAATAAATCAAATAAGTATACCATTAATATTAAAAAACAACAGTGCTTATGTAAGTTTGTGTAAAAAATTTAGTGTAAAATTTATTGATTATTTACTTTCCGTTAGTATTTAAGTATATTTCATAAATTTTGCAATTATAGACGTTAATAATAGTAATATGGAATTAACATTTAACAGCCCAATTAGTTTTGAAATAAAACTCATTGAAAATACACCAACTAACAGCAACATTTCTTATAACACGGACCTGCAAATTTATACTTCATAAAAGTTGTTTTGGTTTTAATAACGGATTTTCCATAATCCAGCTACGCAGATTTCGAAAATAATATTCTTTTTTTTTTCTATCATGTAAGGATTTGTTACAAATCGGGAAGAAATAAAAACTCTAACTTAGATCAAATTACTATTTTGTTTACCATAATGAACATTTATTATTATTATGTTTGTAAACAAAAATACAAACAAAAAGGGAAGAACATTGATGTCAAACGAATATGTATCCTTATTCATCCTCATTTTTTTTGTGAAATCTACGTATTTTAGTCTCAAAACTAAGTGTTGTGGTCATTCTTTTATGTATTGCGTTACGACGATTTGTGAAAAATCTGTACGTGATGGAGAAAAATGGATATCATTTTCGAATTCAAGGTACAGGAATTACAGTGGAACATTTAAACATTTCAAGACAATAATCGATAAGAAGTTTATTCTGATAGGGAGATAAAGAATAAATATTATGGAAATTTATTTTTCAAGTATAATAAATTATATATGTTATTTTTATACTTCTCATTATATATTTGAGAAATAAAAAAGCAAACTATGACTTCATAACACCAGAAAGGGCTATATGGAAATATTACAGGATCGAAACTTCCGCGATTTACCTGTTCAGTAAATTGATATAATGAGATTTGTAAATTTGTTTAACAGGGTATATTTGTGTTACGGTGTATGAAGTTCCACTTGAAACACTGCTAATTTTCCTTTCGTATCGAAATTAAACTTATATATCTGCAATTTTTAATCTTTTTTTTTAGAAATCTTTCTCGTATACAGATAGTGTAATACTCTCAGTGTTACAACCACTTAGCTAACCATACATTTACAAACAATATTTAGTGATTAAGTAAATATTGTGGGACGTGAGAATTGCGTGTGTAACGAATTTGTTACTATACATTTATTTTAATTTCAACGTTTGTTTAGAGTAAATTTATATTTAGGAACATACATAGCGTATACTGTTAAATGTGTATTGCGAAACTCCCGCCTATTCTACAAAGTTGTAGAAGATTCTCGAGAGTAAGAATCAACAATATATATGTGTGTACGTAAACGCTTAAATTTGTATTGCTACTAATCTGAATTTTCTAGAAGGCCTCCACACACCTATAAATATAACCAACGCGCCACGCCGAAAGAGAGTATCTATTATTAGTTCACTATAGTCAGTGTGCTATAAACTTTGGAAACTATAACTGTGATTATTATAATGCTTATCAATCGGAAAACTTCAGATATTTGACCAGGAACCTTTACAAAGTTCGAACATTACAAATCATTTAACCTCAGTGGATTCTCATCGGACATTAGTATTTTTACGAAAACATTACACAACGTCACGATGGAAAACCCGATGTGCGTTGCTGATAAATAATGAAGGATTGTTTGTTTGTTTGTAATTAAGCACAAAGCTACACAATGGGATATCTGTGCTCTGCTCACCACGGGTATCGAATCCCGGATTCTAGCATTGTAAGTCCACAGACATACCGCTGTGCGACTGGTGGGCAAATAACGAAGGACAAAGCTAGCTAGCTTCCCGTTAAGCGAATCGTACCTACATCAACTCGTAATTAACTCGCTCATCGTGAACCCTCGATAAGATATCGAAGAAATTCCAGACTAGAAAGAAGACTTTATATTGTTT